AAAAAAAATTATTAAAAAAAAATACAATAGGAGGGAATGGGTAGAAAGAATAGCAATAAAGAAGGAAAAAGAAGGGGATGTAGAACTTTTTTTCTTTAATTTCCAAGTACTTAGAATTGCAAGATATGAGTTTCCAGACTGAAAAGGCCTACAAATTTACCAGCAAAATGGATATATAAAAGTACCGGTACAAGTCATCACCAGGTTAGAGACTACTGAAGACTCCCAGAAGATAATAAAAATCCCCAAAAAGAAAGAGAAAAACAACACCAGCTTGCATGTCAAGGCTAAGAAATCAGAAAGGAAAGGACATCTCATCATGGGTACTGGAAGTCAGAAGACGGTGCAATGTCCTCAAACCCCGGGATAAAAATTGTGTCTAACCTAGAATGCTACACAAACAAGGATAAGGGTATTTCCGGACGTGAGGACTTAGAGAATTTACCTCCTAAATACTCTTTTTTTTTTTTTTTTAAGATTTATTTATTTTAAAGAAACAGAGAAAGAAAGAGCGAGAGAGCGAGAGAGAGAGGGCGAGTGCACACAAGCATGGGAAGGGGCAGAGGGAGAGAGAGAGAGAGAATCTCCACCACACTCCCCCCAAGCACGGAGCCTGCCATGGGGTTTTATCTCATGACCTTGAGATCATGACCTGAGCCAAAATCGAGAGTCTGATGCTCAACTGACTGAGCCACCCAAGAGCTCCCCTCCTAAATACTCTTTAGCACATAGCTAGCTACTACTGAAAGCAGTGCAGTGATAAAATGAAAACTAAACTGAGGAAACTAATTTAGGGTCTAAGAATTATGGGATCAGAAAAAGGAAAAAGAACGGAAGGGAATTCCCAGGACAATGGTGAAAAACAAACCCAAGACAGCCAGAGAGCGAGGGGTTGACAGTGAAATCATGGGGAGGCTCTGGGAAAAAGGTGGCCAAGAACAAGGCTTCACAACATACAATCATACCAATATCAAAGGTGAGTTATCTTTTTGACAAAGGGGCGAGTATGAACCAGCAATTGGCGTATAGAAAACTAAGCAAGCAAGCAAACAAATAAAAACAGTGGTTAATTCCAGGTTGAGGGGAATTTTACATGGAAGGCAGCAATAGTGTTTACTAAGTTGTGATAACTGATACCAATCCAGTCAAATTTCAAGATGACACAATACTAGTGTGAGGGGGAAAGAAAGTGTCTGCACCAGAGAGAAAGAAATGAATGGAGAGAGAGAGTGGTCGGTGAGAGAAGACAAATCCTCATTTCCATCATGGAAAATCTGTAGATAATTTTCAGTAAGCATCTACTAAGTATCCAGTAAGATACCCATTCTATGCAGAGAAATGGAGGTGATTCCAAAAAGAAAGATCTAAAAATACTGAATGTAGTTGGTTTGGAGAAGGAGAAATGGGGAAGGGGGTTAACGGGGTACTTTTCTCTAAAATTTCTAAAACTGTTAGAATTTTTCATCTCTGTGCTATATAACTTTAACATAAATATCAAATAAAATGAAAATCAGTAGTGCTTTTTCTTCCGTCCTGTTATATGAATGGATAGAACAATCTGGTTTCAATCTTGGAAAACAAAAGCTAGTAGCTCTGGCTTGTTCTCTTTTTTTTTTTTTTTTTTTATTGTTTTGTTTTTTTTTATATTTTAGAGAGAGAGACTGAAAGAGAGCAACCCGGGATAGGGGGGAGAAGAGAATCTTTTTTTTTTTTTTTTTTTTTTTGAGAGACAGAGTATGTGCAAGCGAGCAGGAGGGGTAGAAGAAGAGGGAGAGAAAATCTTAAGCAGGTTCCATGTTCAGTGCGGAGCCTGATGAGGGGCTCAACGTCATGACCCTGAGATCATGGCCTGAGCCAAAATCAAGAGTTGGACACTCCACTAACAGCCACCCAGGCCCCCCTGCCTGTTCTCTTTGGGCCGAGGGTGGGGAGTGGTGAAGAATGTTTGGAAGACCAATCACTTTCTATTTTTCACAAGAGAACAGCCATACAGATAAATTGATTAAATACCTTCTGTTGAAAGTTTTCAAAGCATATCATTTCTGAAATTTCATTGTCTCTTTCAAAGTCCAAAGTCAGACTGAATGTATGCTGACAACTTGAGACACATTAGCACTTTCCAGTTCATTTAACAAAGCTGTTCCAGACAACGTCAAAAGTATAGTCTACTCTCCAATCTAAAAGAGATCACTGTTAGCCTCTAAATAGTAAATAAAAAGGAGACAGACACACACACAGAAAGAGAAGAGAAAAAGAGAAAACTAAGAAAACTTTACTTATGCAATAGTAGTTTGCTTACAATACCACCTGTGCATAGGAAATTAGTTAACAGATTATTTTTCATTTCTCTAATTCAAACCCCCAGTCATCTTCACACTAATGACAAAAGCTTATTTAGCCTACCATAAATACCATTCACCTTTTCCTAAGAGTCAATCAGGTTTAACATTTCTTCTGAATTCTTAGGCAGTTTAATTATTCTTTTTATTTTGGGGTGTTATGATTTTTTTTACTTACAAAAAGGGAGGGGGGATGTTTAGTTACTTGATTCTATTTTGTATCTTCTCCCAATCCCCCACTGCTTTCAAGACTTCCTGTTTGTCACACATTCCAATCTCCCTAAGGAAAAGCCGGAGAGCCTACTACCTGTGCTTAAACTGCAGCTACAGCTGGATTGTGTTTAGGATTTAAGAGGGTACACAAGAACACAGAAGACTGTCTTAAAGTAGACCAATGGATTTTTTGATCCAGGAAGATAATTAGAAGCTACCTAAACTAACCTCTTCATTTTATATATCAGGAATCTTAAGGAACTGAGAAGCCAGCAGCTATCTTGCCAAAGAAGTTGGCCAAATTTCACACTCTGAGCAACTGGGCCAGATCAAGGTCTGCACTCATTCCAAGGTCTTCAACGACACTTGAAGAAAATCTTTCTAAATGAGACAATGGCCAAGTGAACATGGGAACTTGCCAAGTTGTGGTGAGAGCAAAGTCATCCAAGTTTGAGAGTTCTAAAATCTAAGAACCTTGGGACTTCTTGGATGCGTGCTTGCTCAGATGTTTGGTGAGACCCATGGTGACAGTTGTTGCTTGGAAATATGCTGCATTCTTTTTAATTCTCGACAAGAAATGGATCCTACCTGTTGTTCCAGAGGTAAAAATATAAAGATGAGGAGACTTGAGGCTTGAAGCCACATGGAGGCTGCGAGGCACGGGCTTGTCAGACGCTGTGCCCAGTTTTTCTTTGAGTGAGGTTACGCCTTGTGGAACAGAATCGTTCATCCCCCAAACAGTGATACCTTCTGGGAGGCTCGGAAGGATTTCTTCTACAGTTCCAAGCAGATCTAAAAACCAGAGATTTAGGAAGAGATAAATAAAACAGGAATCTCAAACCATTAACTTGTGTTTTCTTTTCTCTGTTGGAACAGGGATAAAATGTCAATACGACGCTGACTTCCTCTTCATTGGGATGATTAATATCATAGCCATTTTATCATTCCGATTCAATGGGACCAACTGGAAGGGAAATCTGGTTACCACCTGATTTAATAAATGCAAATAGGCTGATTCAAATTGAATTCTGGAGACACCATGATTCCGATTATGGCTTTTTTCCCTTCAATGTTTTAATGAAATTCTATTTTTATATTCTACTTTAAATCTGCGCTCAGGATACCACAGTAAACATTTTCATTGAAATATACCTTGGTAGCTCATTATTCCACAAAGCCATCTGTGTGTCACTGTTTAATTCTACTATAATGCAATACGTTCGGGAAACTCTCCTGACCCCTCCAGAGTCATGAGATCATTATGGTTTAGAGACCGTTTCAGAGCCAAAAGTCAAGTGAGGAAATTAAGAGATGCCCTTTTCTCTGGATCAGGATAACCAAAGGTGAAAGTCATTGAAAGCTAGAGGAAGAAATGAATGCCTTCCACAACAGGCAGTAAGGTCCCAGGGCCCAGCCAAGTGCAACAATGGCCGATGAGAGCAGGCTGAAGAGAGCACAACCTCCAACGGCAGCAATGGGACCCAAGGCCCACCTAGAACCAATGCCAAGCAAAAAGGAAAGCAAGAAGTAGAAAAGCCTGAAACAGTGGTGTCTTCAAGCCTGAAGAACTTGAGAGTCTCACAAGACCAAGGGTCTGGGTTGCAATTCAGGTTTCAGAAAGGAAAAAAGGAAACAACTCCCAGGAAGCCTCTACTGTACAGAAAACAAAAGAACACCTGGAGAGGAGAGGCTATGTTGCATTAATTTGGGAGACTACACCCAACCTTCCTAATTTGGTCATTAATGTAGAAGAAAACGTCATTTGCTTAGGAGGAGCTGGGGTAAAGAAGAAGAGAGGCAGAAGGTGGGCGTGAGTCCCTGAGGAGGAAATATTTATTAAGGTATCCAGCACTCTGTAGGACATAAAGGAAGCAGAGCATCAACATTCCCAGAGAGTCTTTTGTATGAGGAGTGAGGCCTTGTATTTTTTTCTAGAGTAGAGACACAGTTATTTATAGTCTTTAAATACCTTTAAAATTTAACACTTCCCTACTTTAATATGGATCTCTAACACGGAAGTTTGATGCTTATATTCCACAGAGGTGCTCCAATTTTAGTTTGGTACTCCTATAAAACGTCGTACTTGTTTAAGATATAAGGGATTTCTGAGTGCTACATTATTTATCTTAAACTCTACCTTAACATCCTTAGAGATATTAAGCAGTAATATCCCACTGGCCTTTGAAGTTAATGCGAGGCATGCCAAAGGGTACCAGCAACTGCCAGAACCATGAAGAAACAAAGGAAGACTTTTTCTTAAATCCTTTAGAGGGAGCATGGCCCAGCAGACACTTTTATTTTGGACTTCCAGCCCCCAGAATGGCGAGGGAATAAATTTCTTTTGTTTTAGGCAACCCAGTTTGTGAGAGTTTATTATAGCAGCCCTGGAAAATGAATACACCAAGTCACAAGCTGGTGGACAGAATTGTTATTCTAACCTGTGGCTAATTATCCCTAAAATCTATACATTACCTCATAAAAGAAATCAATTATAAAAAATAATGTTATTAAATGTAAAATATACCCTGGTAAAAAGCTCAGGTACATGTAAATATGAACCTTCCCATCCGAACAATTATATTTTTTTCTAAATTTTTTAACACAACTTCAAAAATAATTACAAGATATATTCTGCTTTGAAGCTGAACTCGGTGTTCTGCATTAAACATTTTTTTTGGAAATGGAAATCAGTATCTGGTAACCTCAAAAAGCCATCTGTCAGCCACTATTTAGTTCCACTATAATATAATACATTTGAGAAAAACTCATGATTTAGTTCCTCAAAATCTATAATCCAGATTGATCACAAAGAAACAGCAAGAGAAACATGTCAAATTAGACCAAGTAGTTCACAAATAAAACCTGTAATACAACTAAGGAAACCCACAAAATGATAAGGAGTTCATATGTAGGGGGTAGGGAGGCCGACTGGGACTTGAACTTTTTTGAATTAATTTTTATTTCTGTCACAAATCCACATAAAATAAACTGTAAGAGTCCAGAGTTCCACTGAGGGTACACGGGATGCTGCTAGCTACAGATTGCTTCGGTAAGAAGTGAAAAATCACAGGGAATGCTGGGGGAAGAATAAGCCACAAATAAATGAAAAAAAAAAAAACAGGACAAACAAATGATCGAGACTTTCTATTTTCTTTTAATTTCGTGTTGTTGTTTTTGAGAGAGAGAGAGTGGGGGGAGGGAATGGTGCAGGGGGAGGGGCAGAGGGAGAGGGAGAGAGAATCTTAAGCAGGCTCCATGCCCAGCTCAGAGCCCGACGTAGGACCCAACCTCACAACTCTGAGATCAGGACCTGAGCTGAAATCAAAAGTCAGATGCTTAACCCACTGAGCCACCCAGGTGCCCCAATCTTGTTTTAATGACCCTTTCTGGCAATTTGAATGTATAAGTACAAATCTCTGCGTTGACTCATTTCATTATCTTAATTTCAAATCTCTCATCTGGAATTGTAAATTAACAGCATAAACTTATAAAATGTTTGTAATGATATGTCAGTCTAAGTAGGCAAAATAAGTGCAAAGAAAGTTACAGTATGATTAATTGTGGCTCCATATCTTTTTTGGAACTGTAGAGTCTAAAGAAACACTCAATGTTTACAAAGAGTGATGAGTTTTAGAAGAAAAAGGAAGTGAGCAGATTCCTAAGAATTAGAGGAAATAAAATTTAGTTTCCTTCAAAAGTTAAAATTAAATTGACTTAGCTAAGACATTCAGAATTCTACAGAATTTTATAAATTACTTCTTCAACAGTCATAGGTAATGTGGTTGAGGATAATGAAAATTGAAATAAAAATCTGAAAAGTCTTGCAGAGGATAAAAAATGATGATTTATTTATCACTGTCAGTATTCCTTAACAAAATGAAAAGGTTCAGTGTCATTTTGAAAGTAAACTCTGAATAGTAAGTCCTGACACAAAATAGCACATTTTTATATACCTCAAGGACACCTGGCTATGTTTCATGAAGATTTACTCTTCAGTGAAGGGTACTACCATCGAAACCTGTTGAACTATAAGACCTCAAATGAATGATATGTGTCCTAGTCCATACCTCCGCTCACTGCCCCTGGCGCACACACACTGGGGGTGCTGGATAGAGATCTGGGTATGAAATTGAGCTCTGCCCATGGGATCCCCTGGAGATGCAGGTCTTGACAGAAAACTGCTATAAGAAAATGCGACACCTGAATATTTTATGACCTTGAACAAAGTCTACCTCACAGGACAAGGCTGTATAATGCAGAAGGCTTTCACAGCAATAGGGTCCTTTTAAGAAACGTACTATTTCTCAAATATGCAAGGCACTTCATTAAGTAGTGCTGCAAGCATTAAATTAAAGGGCTGCCTGGGTGGCTCAGTCAGTTAAGCATCTGACTTCAGCTCAGGTCATCATCTCGGGGTCCTGGGATGGAGCCCTGGAATCAAGCCTCAAGTTGGGAGTTGGGCTCCCTGCTGTGCAGGGAGTCTGCTTCTCCCTCCCCCATTCCCTCTGCCCCTCCCCCGCTTTCTCTCTCTCAAATAGATAAATGAAATCTTTAGAAAAACAGGTAAATTATGATCTCTGCTTATGATCCTTCAGCACTTTTTGTACCAATTAATTTGTTTCTACATCATCTTGTCTCTTATTCACATTACTGACACTATAAATGCAATGAGTAAAATTTAACATATCCCTCTACTATGCCATTAGTATGAATTATGTGACTCATCCTGCATTAAAAACTCTTAAAGTTATCTTATTTTACATAAAACAAGCTAATGCTTTCAAAGGAATAGCTTGTAGTTCTTAATACACTGGCAAACACTGAAACTTTTAGGCATGAAGACAACTTATATGGAATTCCGGGACAAATGGTTACCTTGAGCTTTCCACATTCCAAAGCAATATTCTCATAGAATCCAAAGTGAAATTATAGATCTCACTTCATGCTCATAAATACCCTCCTCCTACTTAGAGCCACTCAACAGGTTTTCCATAGAAAGCATGGGCAGGCTCTGGTTTCTAAAAAATTGATGCTTAAGTAAGCAATATCCTAAGGCAATTCATATCAGGCCAGAAACTCATCTCACCATGAATAATGTGCCAGCTAGTCTAACAAATAAGAGTTTATTAATAATCATAATAATCCTAGGAAGTGCACAGAAGCACAAGTCTTTTCGATTGTGATAACATATTCTTCCCTGAAATGATTTTATTAGCTGCCCTGAATATATGCAAACAAGTTTGTAAGTGGGCTTATGTGTCTTCACTCTCAGCTGTCCCCACATGTTTTGAGGGACAGAGAGCATATTTATTACGCATAAAATTGTTCAAGAAAGTAAAAAGTAGAACACTTCATTTGATTTTATTTCCAGCACATCTCCCATTGCCAATGAATAATTATTACCCAAATGGGACCACAACGCCATGATGTATTTGCCTTGCTATTTCTCAATGACAAAGTAGTAAAAACTAGTAAATGCACAGAAAAGCTCTCTAGACACAGACGAATCAGTAAGTAAACTATAAATTGGTAAAAAGGCAATTCCAAGGTAGTATATCTACAAGATTCATACGCCATCAAGAGTTATTTTCCACATTCCTTTCTGGTTATAAGTGGAAGAATCCTTTTCTCGGCCAGAGAAGAGCTAACCATCTGGCTCCTAACTTGTCTGACACCATTCCAGCTCTAGCTCCTGAGGGTTGGGAAGTAGATATGGCCGCAATGCTACGGGGGAGGACAGAACAGCTGGTTAAAACCAGTTCGCTTGGGTCCTGGGCCATGTGCCTGGATCT